AAAAGTCGTATCTATTTGGGCCAGGGCCAGGGTCAGGGTGGGGGTATATGACATTTTAACGAATTTTTTTTAATGTTGCCTCTGGGTGGATGGCTTTACGAATAATTTTCTTTTTTCGTTACACATATTTTAAAACTCTGTGCAGGGACCCTGTTTCGTGGAGATTAAGAATTACAAGTTCTATATAACAGAAGAGAATTCCAAACCTTGCCATGTTGTTTATTTTTGACTCTTTATTTTACATGTTTAATGGTCGGGGTTTTACGAGTAAATTTCACAAGACAGGATAGAAATGAAAAATTCACAAATAACTTTTTTCAGAAATCGCTCAAGATTTACGTACATATACCTTTTCAGTAAATTCTTAACTTGCATCATGTTACTATTATTGACTATTGTTATGATAAACCCTTGGGGTGATTCTAATTTTATTCTAATTTGTCTGAGAATAAATGACATTCCTTTGTAAAACATTGTAAAATATTGTAAAATATTAAATCGATTAAAAGGGGCGGGATTAAATGAAAATTGTTGCATATAAAAAAACCAGCTTTTTATAAAGGAATGACAATTTTTCGCATTTGTATTTTTCATTTTTGTACCTATATGCAATGATCATTATTCCATGTTTAACAAATTACGCTCCTAGTTCTTTAATTTTGTTTCTGATTTTGTTCCTAACTTGTAACTTTCTTAATATTCCTATTTTTGTTCCTATTCCTAACTTTGGGTCCCTAGATCCTAAATCCCTGTCCTAAATCTTTTTTATTGTTCCTTAGATTGTGTATTTTATTTATTGTTATTATACTTTTAATGCATACATGTAACTCAAAGTTTTTTTTGCTTGTTCTAAGCTAGTTCTGTAGTCAATGTTCCTGTTATAGTTCCCATTTTATCGTTCTTTTGTTTTCTAGTTTGATTTTCCTAATCTAATTCTTCCTTGTTTGTTCCTAACTCAACCAACCCAACATTTGTGTTATGTATTCAAGATTGTTCCTTTGTTAAAAACCTAGTACTTTCTTTTTCGACCTTGTTCCGAAAATCCTAAATTGGCAAAGGAATTGAGTCTTTGCCACTAACTATGATTTTCTAATCCCTATATCTACCTAACCCAATGTCGAAGACCTTACATATTTCAAACTATGATTTCTGTTATATTACATAATCTAAGTTTGAGGTATCAAAAGTTTACACAATCAGGTTGCAAAAATATAGGGATTAGAAACTTTGAGTTTGTGACAGACTCAATTCCTTTACCTGTTTTTTGTTCCTTATTTTGAGTACGGCATTTTTTTTCTATGAGTATTTTGTATTTAATATCTTAAATCCTTCTAAAAACTTAAAAAATTGGATAAAAAAGATTAAATAAATTAAGAAAATTTTTGTAGCAAAATGGGAACATTTTTTTAATCTAAATCTCAGGGGGGTGCAAAGGTCCTGCCGTCCCCCCCTTGTATCCGCCCCTGCTTCTTTATTATAGGCAAAATCTCGCTATTTACTCTTTTTTTTTGACTCACCCTGTATATATGTGCATGATTTTTTCATTACTAAGGATAGTAAGGATTGTTCAATAGTATCCTATTATTCGATGTAAATGTGTTCAAATGTAATCAAATAAAGTACACATTTTTATTCTTTCTTATATAAATATACACGTATATGTCACTTTAATGAAGTAATGACATTTGGAAGTTTTTAAATGGAAGATGTGAGTCGAGGGCACCTCTCTGAAATTATATAGCGGCAATCAAATTGTCTTTCAAATGTCAAGTTTAGATGGATAATAATATTAGAAGAGCTGAGAAAAATATAGGAAAGGACAAGAAAAAGAAAACAGAAGATTACAAGATTATAGTTGGATCTGTAAAAAAGAGAAAAATGATAGAAATTAAATTATATCGGCAGTCAAATTGTCTCTCAATTGTTATGTCTAGTTGGATATCAATATTAGAAGAGCTGAGAAAAAGATAGAAAAGGCAAAAAAAAGGGAAAATAGAATATTACAAGAGGAAAGTTTGAACGGTAAAAAAAGAGGAAAATGATAGAAACTAAGATGAACATAAAGATAAGTTATAAGAATTATACAGTATAACAGAAGATAAATGAAAACCAGGGGCGTACGAGAGCATTTGTGTAGGGGGGTCAGATTTTGCTGGCGTCAGCGCACAAAAAAAAATTTGTGTCCCCCCC